GGCTAATGAAGACGGGCAACGCCTTGCAGGATGGGATGAGGGAAATTTTGCCAGGACAGCGGCATTAGCCTGCTCTTTTTCGATTTCCAACTGTCGAGGGATCATTAACATGCACAGCATGTATCACACGGGGCCTCAGTTTATTGTCCCATCCAAACGACTAGACGCTTTTTCTATGTTGAACTTTAAGAAGGCATTTTTTTTGCAACATTATATTTACCACGTAGGCTGTCTGAAAAACAGTTCAAATACAACCAACCATAAGTACAAAGCGTGATTCATACTTTGGGGATTTAAAACAATTGGTTCACGAGATTATACCCAGCCAAAAAAGACATTAAAAATCTTTAATGACTTTCTATTGTGTAATACATTCTGACCCAATATCAAATCTATCTGAAAATAGTAACAATGAAACTTAACCCACATAGTCGTGCAATGTGTTGTAATACTGTGGTCTAATGATCTATATTTTACAGTTTAATGGAACGAAGCGAGCCTTTAAACGTTCGTGACTGATTGTGAAATATGAAAAGAACCGTGTCAATGGTATTACAGATATTGTATAATCCAAGACAAAGTAATGGATGATGATATTTCTGTAAATATTGAATGTGGGAGAGCCGAGGTGGATGATGAATGAGTAATTCCATAGTTGACTTTTAAGACCGTACCATAACTTCTTCAACGGCCATTGTGTCTTAGTAACCTTTAGTATCCTGGTCATTCTGGATTGTACTTTTCCCTTTATATGTAGGTATCAGCTCAGTTCAGATCAGAAAAAAAAATACCCAGCCGTTCCAGACCACCTTACCATTTAATGAAGTGTTTCCATCGTAGGCATGTACATTTAGAAGGATCAAACCTTCCCTCAAAAGCTAAATAAAGCAGACAATGCAAAGAAATTTGAAAGAATTTCACTCCCGACCCAGAAAGTTCCAGTGAAAATAACCACTTATCGGACTTAAATATATGCCCTTCTGTAGAATCATATCTTCATAATAATATAATTTATTTTTCAGTTTGGCATTTTCATTAACCCAAATACGGCATTCAGTGGTATTTTGGGTGGATATTTCTACCATGATTGGCCTAAAGCAATCCTTGAGTCACGGTGGTCGGACAGTAAGCAACCTTGATATCGTATAATTATACAAGATTATAATTATATCTGTATAGAAATTTCCCCGTGAATGGATACAATTACGCCTGACAATGCCTTTCCTGAAAACACAGGAGAAGTAGCATTGTAAAGACAGGTTAGAGAACAATGGCTAGCCAAGATCAATAAGTCATTTACATGTCAGTTGTTATGTCTTTAAGACATGCTGATGTTTTCACCGGAGATAAATGATCGGACGGACAGTGTCTTCTAAAAATATATGAAATTGACGCTACTTAGTTGTCTTCCGTAGTGAAATTCTGCATACATGACATTATGGTATCATTTGTGACATTCCTGGTTGAGATTTTATTTTGCTGAGAATGTAGGTTTCATTTTATCGAGATTTGATATATAATCTTTTGGAATCTTGGTATCATATGTGAAATTATTACATGTAGTATAGTGAGATTTCTGGTTTCTCTTTGTGAGATCTTTAAATCATTTGATTGTTATTATTAGTAGGTGAGATTGTTTGTATCCTTTAGTGAGATTCTTTTGGTATCATTTGATGATATTATGATTATCATTGGGTGAGATAGTTGGTATCAATTCTAGGTTTTCTTTTGGTGAAATTGTTGGCATCAATTGGTAAGATTTTTGGTGTCGTTTGGTGAGATTTTTGGTATCTGGAATAACTATTTTTGATCATTTTGAGGGTGCTCCCGTGAAAATTTCTTAAACTTTTAACAGCCATGCATCATTTTGAGACATACTGAAATTCCCTTTATGGCGCACAGACTTCCAATCGACCATTCAGAACGACAAAATGTTTTTTCAAGATTTATCCTGCACAAGATTTAAAACAAAAGTGAGGAGGAGTATACTCCACGAACGCCGGAAACGAGTCTGGAATTTCACTCCGAATTCCTTTTTGGAATCAGACCGGAGAATATGAACAGAAGGCAGCCAGTACAAGGTCCACGATGAGATAGATAGATTAGGAGAGCTGTACAGCCAATTTGTGTTATATTATTTGCCTGATTGATAAGATTTGTCAATTTTCAGAATCCTCAGACGGACTAATTAGGAAACATAGTCTGTTACTTTATACAGATCTGGCTAATTAAAACACCAAAGCTGAAAAGAAATCGAGTTACTTCCTGTACTTCACTTCGTATAGTGACAGCCTTGTTTTTTGTGTAAGATACAATGTTGACCGATTTAATAGTTTGGTTTATAGCTTCTAATAAAGCATTACCAGTTTTTGCGATGTTTCTGTCTGTCTGTATCATTCCTCTGGTCTTTCTACAGGCCACATTTTTTTTATTTTCATTTCGTGGGTTTTAATCAAAGCAAGTAGGATGTCTATGGATTTTCGTGATGATCTGGAAATTTGGAGCATAGCACAAAAGTGCAGAACTGTACATGCACTACTCTTGGCCACTCATTTCTGGTTTGTGTGTATATTATAAAAAAGCATGATGCAAACCAAAAATTTCACAGATTTTCAGCTGATGGCTTAATGAGAAAGTGAAGATTTTTTTTTGTCAAATTTCACCATGTACTTCGCGGCGAAAGCGAAACTGACTAAATTTTTGACAGATTTTTGGTTTTTTGGTTTACGTTTCCGTCATGAGGACAAAAATATTTTTCAGCATGGCAAGCACTGTGCCAAAGTAATGGAATTTATAGAAAACATCTTAAAGTGTTCACAAACAGTTTACAGACTATTTTATTTTTGGTTTAAAGCTTTAACGAAAGGTAGAAATGATGGATTGTTCTCTGTAGGCGAATTGAAAACGATGCATTGAAAAATTCATGAATATGCAACACAAGAGGAAAAGTAGAAATCTCCAATCATACACTTCAGATCTAACCACGTGGGGTAGCTCAAAATCATAACCATATATAGTGAGGCCAAACCTCTTGTAAACGCCTACAGCATTACATATCTTTCAATAATAATTCAATCCATTACCTTCTTGAACGCCATTATATAATTTGTAAAAACTCTTGTGTTTAATAAGTCGTTCTTTAAAATTATGCGTTCTACCTAATATTTGTAATGAAAGCAATTTGTCTACCTTTGCTTTAAATCATTTGATTCATTAGGTATCGAGAGGAATTATTTATGTCTTGTTAAAACTTGAAATGATATTAGTGGATTCTGGGAGGTCTTGATCATGACGTGCAATTTGCTGAGCGTGAGTTCACACACCTGTACTCGGGGAATTGGCTATTAAAAATCCCTTAACAGCTGGTGACAAAAAAGAGATGGCAAATGCTGCTGTCCTGGCTGTATGTCCTTAATAGCACACAAGCTAAGCTACTTGACCTGGCGTCATTTAAACTGGACATCTATCCATTTTCAATTGTACCTCTACTCATTTCAGCTGTATTACAACATAAGTCATTTTATTCATTTTATTTTCATTAGTCAAGCGTATCCGGGTCACCAGCTTTATTCAGCCAACTGGTTTGCACTGTATCTCGTCATGTCAATCAGCTATCTATGGGTCAAATAAAACGACAGGAAAGAAACTGGTGCATCGTTGACATTGTTATATTACTGATTGGGTAAGTGACTGATTATTTGCATTTTAACGAGTATCCATTGATGCAATGGTGGGTTGTGAATCTTTCAACGAGTTACTCCCCTTCTCGGTAATCCTACAGGTGTTGATCATCAATTTCGAGAAGACACACTCATAGGATGGAGCAAGCTGGGTCAAACCAAATACCCAGGTCGAACTGATTCAGAATGTCAAAGTAAAGAGTTCAGGGTGGTCCGGAAATGGTAGACCATTTGGCTATATTGGTAATCATGTGGCTTGAAAATGGCTTTTGTATTGTTAAAGTCAAGGAGAAGTAACTTCATTTTACAAATAGATACATGTACCACAATTAGTTTATATATAGATCATAAAGACCAAACTTCTTATGATCGATGTATAACTAGTGAAGAAAGATTTGATTGATTGATTGATTTATGCACCTACTTTAAAGATTTAAATGGATTGAGCAGGGGGGGGTTGTTGATTGTAATTTTAAAATTGTTAAATACATGTACATGATATTAAAGATATAAACAATAACATAGAACCTGAAACATGTTGCTTCCCTATTTATTCAATATCCTTGATTTAACTTGATATTATGTTGATATGATTAAGTTACATTGTATTGCCTATATTCATTTTAATTAAGAATGTATTATTCATGAAGGACTTCACTTTAGGCAATGACAAAATAATCATCGAAAGTTCAGGGCACAAATTCCACAATTCGTGTGAGTACTTTTAATCACAAAAAGGATTCCACGTGTTATAATGTTTTTGTTATAGAAAAAATGAAGAAGTTAAGCACACGCAAGGGAAATGGTTCTGTGACAATACAAGCTAGAAACAGGAAACAAGAAAGTGAAAAATATGCTAAAAATGAAGTTTCCTGTGTCAAGCATTCTTACCCAGTAAGTAACTGTCAAGGAGGGTCTTGGATCAAATTTTCTGCTAACAGAATCTGGAAGCATCATAATTTTCATTTACTGCTACCAACTGAAGTTATCTGAGGACCCTGCTGTACCATATGCTACAGGCTGTGTAGGCCTACCTTTGCCAGCTGGAAATCGAAAATGAGTATCCATGTGTTGTAGCCCTGGAGGCTTAGATCATTAAATTGCTCTGCATCTTCATTAGCTAAATCAACTGCTGAAATCTGGGTTACTTAACTCAAAGTGACTTCCCATTACAAATTATCTTTGCAGCTTAAATTTTTGATACTAAAAAGTTCTAAGGCAGCTATACTGGCTGCTCCTTCATAGATGTGCATCTTCCTTAACTAAATCAGCAACAAAAATCTTGGTCACACAACCCAACTTTATAAGTTATCTTTGCAGCTGAAATTTTTGATACCCAAGTATGCTTGTGATACTAATTGTTGTTGGGTATACCCTATAAGTTATGGTGGAGGTCTGGTGGAAGGCGATGAAATAAACATAGATATTAACGTGGAGGAATATTGTGCTGCAGTGATAACGACACAAGAATCAACTAAGGTATGTTTCATGTTGCAGACTTGCAAATAGCCATTTCAACATTGTCTTTTAATCTACTGCGTTATTAAAGAGGTTGATAGTGCAAAAAAAAACAATATTAATCCAGTGGTAATATCTACTTCACACTACTGTTTCACAATTATTGCTTCTGATTTGGTATGCTTTTGGCTAGACTTTGAGTGGTTACTGGGAGCAGCGGTGGATCAGTGAGTTAGACGCTTGCTCGCTAACCTGAAGGTCCAGGATTCAATCCCGGCATAGGTCGAGATAATACCTTGGGATTTTTCAACCCAGTTTCCCCCTGTCAGTGATGCAGGTACGAGGGGCTGACATGGCAAAAGCGTCTAGTCGTTCGGATGGGACAATAAACCAAGGCCCCGTGTGCTACAGGCTGTGCATGTTAAAGATCCCTCGACAGTTGGAAATAAAAAAAAGAGCAGGCTAATGCCGCTGTCCTGGCAAAATTTCCCTCATTGCACCCTGCATGGCGTTGCCCGTCTTCATTAGCCCACATGGTGCGGAAAAGTAGGACGTAAAACTCCATTCATTTCATTTGGGTAGGTTTTCGAATGCAACAATAACTTGAAGACAAAACAGGTGATGAGATATTCTGTGAGAAAGGGTGGTCTGTTATGTGTTTTAGGCGATCCCGTTGTTTGTTTTAAAGACGCAGACTTTTCTCAAATACAGGTAGGTAACATGGAAGTTACCTGGTTGCTCGTTTCAAAAAAAAAAAAAGAAAATTGGGGAGACATGCCAATATGTTACCAGAATAATGGCCAGTCTGCCTTCATCTTACACACTTGGCCTTTTGCAAAGTTTTCTTTAAATTTTACATTTTCCCACATTTGAATGGGAACAAATAATCCAGGAGAGATTAATGCCAATTTGTATGTATGTCTGGTCAAAGACTATCTGGTAGACAGAGTTCACGATCATCCAAGTTTATTTCAATGTAAAATATGGTTCCTCCATAAATCTACATCTGAAATGGGCATTTTCGTGTATTTTTAAAATGATTTTTCAGCAAGTTAAAATGTCACACGGCAGCAGTCTGGTTTTATTAGATTTGATATCAGCTGGACGAATTGCACGAGGAGAGTGCTGGCAGTTTACAAGGTACTTAGTGTCAATTGCTCATACTTTCTAAAAACCTGGTAACCCTTGACGACCGAGTTGACCTTATGGGTATCACATCACTGAACAGACACATTTCTGATCTGCTGTGAAGAGTTTTAGCTACCATGTTGTAGATGGGATTAGGTTCACAAGATGTTCTGGTACAAACCAGACGAAAAAAAAAACACCACTTTTCGGCACATCAATGTAGCGTTTCTATGCCTTGGCGAGGTAAAAATATTGTATTCTTTTGAAGTTGCGAGTGCATTGCTAATTTTAAACAAATTTTCAGTTTTGAAAACAAGATCACCATCACAGTTGATGAAAAGCTGGTCCTGAATGAGGTGCACCTATTGGAAAATACCACAGATATGATTTTAAAAGATTCTATGAAAGCATATGAGGTACTCTTGACAGTAATTGTAAAGCTGAATCTATGTTGCAAAGCTTGTGAAGTTTAATGGTGGAGCGTTTGATAAGTTAAAATCCAAATGCCATCAATATCTATGAGCAGTAAGCAAGCAACAAGATAGAAAATTCTGGCAGGTCATTATTGAAATGATTTGAATGTTTCTTTACCCTATGTGTAGGTTGTGCATGTTAAAGATCCCTCGAAAGTTGGAAAAATGTAAAAAAGCAGGCAAATGCCGCTGTTCTGTCAAAATTTCCCTCATCGCACTCTGCATGGTGTTGCCTGTATTCATTAGCACACATGGTGCAGAAAAATAAGACCTAAAACACCATTCATTTCATTTCATTTCATTTATACCCAATGTGCAATGAACTAACATTTTTTAATCAATTCAATTGGGTCAGGAATAACACACAAAACTTCAATTCATAGTCGTTTTCCTTTCAATAATTTCAGATGATGGGTTGCTGTATAATTCTTGGGGATGATGTTGATGACCTGGCCAAATTTTTAATTGAGAAATATAGTCGTAAGCAAAATATAGGTAAATTTATGTTTATTCCTTGGATGTCGAATTTGATTATGCATTCATTAGGGCAGGATGATTTTTAACAGAATCTAGTGAGGCACAGTAATTTTGAGAGCACTTATGAGGCACAGTAGTATTGAGAGCAACTAGTGAGGCACAATAGTTTTAACAGAATCTGATGAAGCACAGAAATTTTGAGAGCACCTAGTGAGGTACAGTAGTTTTGAGAGCACCTAGTGAGGTACAGTAGTTTTGAGAGCACCTAGTGAGGCACAGTAGTTTTGAGAGCACCTAGTGAGGCACAGTAGTTTTGAGAGCAACTAGTGAGGCACAGTAGTTTTGAGAGCACCTAGTGAGGCACAGTAGTTTTGAGAGCACCTAGTGAGGCACAGTAGTTTTGAGAGCAACTAGTGAGGCACGGTAGTTTTGAGAGCAACTAGTGAGGCACAGTAGTTTTGAGAGCAACTAGTGAGGCACAGTAGTTTTGAGAGCAACTAGTGAGGCACTGTAGTTTTGAGAGCAACTAGTGAGGCACAGTAGTTTTGAGAGCAACTAGTGAGGCACAGTAGTTTTGAGAGCAACTAGTGAGGCACAGTAGTTTTGAGAGCAACTAGGTGAGGCACAGTAGTTTTGAGAGCAACTAGTGAGGCACAGTAGTTTTGAGAGCAACTAGTGAGGCACAGTAGTTTTGAGAGAAACTAGTGAGGCCCGATTATTTTGACAGAAACTAGTGAGGCGCGATTATTTTGACAGAATCTTGTGAGGAACAATAGTTTTAACAGAATCTGGTGAAGTCTGGTAAGGCACAATAGTTTTAACAGAATGTGATGAGGCATGATAGATTTAACAGAATCTAATGAGGCATGATAGATTTAACAGAATCTAATGAGGCACGATAGATTTAACAGAATCTAATGAGGCATGATAGATTTAACAGAATCTTGTCAGGCACGATAGTTACAACAGAATCTAATGAGGCACGATAGTTATAACAGAATCTAACAAACAAAACTTACTGAGGTACCATAGTTTTGACAAAATCTACTGAGACATTCAAGTTTTGACACGATTGTTGTGTGTTGTGCCTCGCGTCACATGACTTTGATTTTCTTTCTTATTCAGGTGAAATATTAACCGATGAAACCCTGTGTAGTATTAGCCCCTTACACTATGAAGTTACTAATAAGAAGATAAGTGGTTGTTATCTCAGGGTTTTGTCATCTGTATCACAGGTCAGTACTGAGTGATATTCACTAATGTTTCATAAGGAATAACAAAGGTGCGAATGAACTGAGTAAGGTGTCACAGCCCCGTAGCCAGGAATGAATTGGTGCTGGGACTCAGATTTTGAAAATTAGAGAATTAAAGGCATAGAGAACTCATTTCTGACAATTTTAAAGTGCCAAAATATATCAAAATCTGTATCTTTTTGATTTTGTATAAAGACACTGAATCAATCTCTGCTGAAATGAAGAAGGTTTTGCTGGGGCTTAATTCTCACAGACCCTACCTTAACAACGGGGCTGTCGATACAGAAGAAAAAAACAGAAGAATGTTCACTGTTTCGATAAAGAATAGAAAATAAAATCAATGTGAAAGAAAAGTCTTTGCATTTTATACACTACATGTATAATGGACGTTGTAAGCTCGAGTCCTAAATAAACAAATATTGATAAGTTCTAGCAATATTAATTTGCTTAACTAAAATTATTCATCTCATTGCAGGCGTATGGAATCATTAGTGATATAACAAGACATCTTCTTCCGGTTATCGGCAGTGATCCATTTTATAACAAGTATTGATGCTGCTGAATTTTATGTGCATGTCCTTCTTAAACAAAAGTTATCATGTTGTCGGACATATATATCAAATAAACAATATTAGTTATGTGGACTCTTCGTGCTGAGTTTACAACCACAATCTCAAATTGACATCCGGTGCTGTTCAACTTAAAATGGTGTAACAGAATGACATGCTTATTATTTTTTTTAATACTAATGAAATAGATGACTTGTTTTAACACTATTGTTATGAATTAAAACATACAAAATATGTGTGCTCTGGTTTACCCTGAGACTTTCAACAATTAGTGTGTGTGGCAGAATTAGTATCAATCTAGTATAGTTGGACTGAGCGCCATTTGTCCATGACCATCGTCCACTCCGACTGATCCATGATCAAAAATTAAAATGTGAGAGGACCGAAAATGGACAACAGAACCTACAGTTCAGCTGCTTTGGTTTTGTCTCTGGACTAGACTTACTCAGATGCTTGGGGAGGGGGGGGGGGATTAATTGGGCATCCCAAACCACTCAGTGGAGCTCAGGATTCCTATTTCTTATATTCTTAGATTCAAAGAAAGTGTGTCTCCGATTACTAATGCTACCCTCGAACGATCAGTACTAGACAACTTCGGATTATTATTACCTTGAATAGTCGAGATAAACGAATACGTTCGAATAACTATCTAGTCACGTGATGACTGTGATATCCTGTTTGTACGAGTGGGTAGTGATAGTTTTCTGGGGCTTATGTAAGGTGTTTTATTCTCTTATTTCATTGAATTCACCATTCTCGAGTGGTGAAAGTGTACAGAAGGCAATTATGAACTTTTCTAAAATCGGCAAGAATGCTGTCAAAAATGTCAGCACTGGAGAGGTGGGTAATATTTTAATTTGTGTCTTGTATCTGTGAACATTCGGACAGTTGAGCAAAGTATTACGTTATAAATCTGTACTTTAACCCTACCTTATGTTAAATATTACTAATAGACCATGTTAACGAAAGCTGCCTGTAATCTTATATCACAATTGTCTAACCAACGTTACCAGTAGCCTACTAAAATCAGAATATCCAGGCCTAGGGACTTCATGCCTGCAGGCCAATGTGAGCCCAAGCCCAAATATAGTTTTTCTTAAACTTTATTGAATTTTCAATTGATACCTTATCCCTGAAATTTATGTTGTAACCTAGTCACTTTTAAAGCTTTTGAATGGAAAGGAAAGCTTTGAACACATTGAAAATTGTCTTACAAAGTAATAAATATTTGTCTAAATTTATTGAACTCAAAGTTGCTTAGGCTTCAATATAGAGTCCAGTTGTTTTTATAGTGTAGCTACTAAAGCTTTTACAGTGTATAATTTGTTATCATTGTTCAAGTAATTTCCCATCAGTAAAGTAAAACTAAATACTAGCTGTCAGTCAGTCATGCATGTTAAGTTTATTCTTATCTTGTATGATTTATTTATGAAGTTGGACTTTTAACCTTTGTGTTTTTACCTTGACACAATGGTCAAGATGATAGTAAAAGGATGGTGGTTTAGGTATTTTCAGTACATAAAAATTATCAACACATGTATAAGTAATTAGAGCCTACTACATCAACCTTATCAGTGATTTGAAGTACTATGTCACCTATGTCTATGTAATTTTGTATCAAGATGTGAATTTAAGTCAATCAGATTTACTCTTTTTCAAAGGAGGATTCACAAGATTTCTCTTCCAGATTGAATCATACAGGCTCAATGTTAGAAAGGCTCCCTTCCAGATTGTAAATGACATTATATCATACAGGCTCAATGTTAGAAAGGCTCCCCTTCCAATTGTAAATGACCTTATATCATACAGGCTCAAAATTGAACTCATCTTGCAGGTTTTAAACCACACAGTCACACACAAAGTCAAAGATATCTGTACTTGATCTGCCTTTTGGTAATTTTCAGATGGTTGCTATGGAGTCATTTTGGAGTAATCAGAGGGTAGTCATTACCTTTCTCAGGCGGTTCGGATGAGCCTTCTGTCGCCTCGGAGCGAGGCAACTCAGTACCCTGAAACCTCAGCTGGATGCCAACAATGTCAGATTTGTGGCGATCGGCTTAGAGGAACTAGGGGTAGAAGAATTTGTTCAGGAAAAATATTTCAATGGAGGTAGGTTCTTCCTTCAACTTAACTTCTTTAATTTTATTTTTGCAATGGATTGTTGCTTTGTTGAATGTAGGAATGATGTATATTGATATTAGTGCTGTTGGTTGATTTCCTAGACAACCAATAAAGTCCCCACCCGCTTTTCTGGCTTCGAAGCTTGTCGAATTGAGGATGTGCCATTGTCTGACAATAACCTTGTATGCTGTTGGAAGAAAATCTTCTTTAATTGTTAGGGGGGAATCACATCCGCGCTACAAAATATAGTTGTCAGATGTTAGTTATCTCCCTTGAAGTCTGAGACTGGTCAACACTTACATTTCGTTTCCAATAAAGGAAAAACAATTAGAGACATTACTGACGAAGGTTATGATTGCATAAGTGTTTGCCTACCGATTATGATTGTTCAGATGATGCTATGGGTCTTACAATGTCCTAATATACGAGGTTATTGTCAGGCCTAGCGAGAATGGCCGACTTCAAACCACTTGTTCTGTAAAATGCCCAGCTCTATTGTACAATATAAGCAATATTATTCATTCCAGAACTGTATATAGATTTAAAGAAACAATGTTATAAAGATTTAGGATTTAAAAGGTAGAGTTTCAATTATATTTTCAACAAAAATTTTAACTACTGTCTGTTTACTATGGTGATGTATTGAAATTCTTCTCTTAGTTATCATCATTTTTTCGGACCATTGAAAATGTTAAAAGCTAAATATGTAATGAATTTGAACTTTACAGCCCACTGTTCATTTTAAAGGGGAACAGTCGACATTTTTGGGGATTGATTTGGGTCTTTTTTGTGCTTTGATAAGTCTTATAAAATACTAAAACCCACGAAAAATCACATATAATCCCTTCAAATGTACCTCAAACTAGAAATTTCACTGTCTATTCCAATATATGTGTTTATATATGGCATAGTCTCACTAAAATTCGAGTCGAATCTTTAACTTTCAAATGTGAATAATTATGGAAACACATGGGATTGAAGGCTCAAATTTCGATGATGAGCTGTGAACACTATTACTAATTGTGTAAGCTAAAAAAAATTCCTGTTTCTGAAACTAAGGTATGATTGGTCGAACGGATAGTGAAGGTGCTCCTTTAACTTTTGGTTAATTTTAGCAGTAAAAAGTTTTGAAGTTTGTCTTACAAGTTTTTCTGAATTCTGCTTTCAGGTTTAATTTTTTCAATATTTTCCCTGCTTTGTTCACTAAGAAATCTAGGGATGCTATTTCAGAAGTGAGTACAATTTAAAAATGTTCACCTTGTGCGGTTGTGGGTGAGGGAATTTGTGATGAAATTGATCGATTATAGGTTTGTTTAACCTTTGACCTCAGTTTACATAATTGTCATAAATTTGATAATTAATGGGTGTGACTAAATTCCAACAATAATCATTAGTAGCAATTAGATTTTGACATCTGAAACACTTTGTGAAGGACAATTATTTGTTCATGTTTCAGTCAAAACAACAGAATGTAGGTGGTAATTTTAAAGGTGATGGAATGCAGACAGGAGGAACATATGTCCTAGAAAAAGGTGAAAGAAAGTTCTTCAGTATACCGTGTGAATTGGACAATTAAATATTAAAGATGGATTCCCTTATTTTCATTTATGAACATGAAAATGCTAAATTAGAAGAGAATTACCAGCAGAATTCCAATGAGTGACCAATCAAGACAGGTCAAACAGTCTTTTTTTGTCTATCCAGACTGTTAATGCATGGATAGTTATGTTTGGTTAAAACTCGTAATTATATTCAATAAGAACATAATGATTTGATTTAGAATACATGATAATTCATTAGAAAAACCAATTAATCAAATAGTTTGCTTAATTTGACACTAAAAAATAAGGAAACCCATCTTTAAAACTATTTGAACAATGTTTTTCAAAAAAAGAACTAAGATGTTTTGTAAAAATTGGCAACAACAAACAGAAAATTTCAACATCTAGCCTGCCACAGCATTTAACATCTATGGCACTCTCTATAGTGGGACACATAGGCCTATATTTTGTCCCAATGCATGTCAATTTATAATTTTTCTTGTTTGCCAAGTTGTAAATCAGTATAGATAATCCAGAATGATTGATGCAAAGATGCTTGGCCAAGGACCTGCAGATAGACAGGATCCGTGAAAGCCCAAATTGTTTTTCTTGTAAAATATGATGGTGTTTGCTTTCTTTAAGGCGGCAATGTCTTACTGGAGTACAAACAGGACAATCCAGCAGACCATGTGGACCCAAATGAAGTCCTCAAAGCTTTGGGTATATCTGGTAGAGTTGAGGTGGACCCCATCCCAAAAGCAGAAGATTCTGGATCTAAAGGGGCTGCAGCACCAGTTTGTGAAAATGATGTTTGTCAAATGCCGAAGAAATCCTAATTAATTTGTTTTGTTAATGGTATGTATTGACTTTGATGTACGGTCTACAGATAACTACTAGTTGCCATAGTTGGGCTGGGCAATGTCACAGTTTCTTGAAGGCACGATGGAAGGGGGACTCAACTATAGTGACTCAACAAGTCATTTAAGTCATCTTAATTTTTCAGGGGGGGCCAAAATCTTTTTCTAGCTACGGGCTTATGTTAACAATAAAATCCAAATTTTCTCTAAAAAGGAGAAGACAAGTCATTAATTTCAATTGGTGGCAACTGTGAATTTTCATTCATCAATCTGGTCATGATGACTGAATCCAACATTGATCAGCTTCTGCCAGATGCTAGAAATCGTTAAAAATCCAGTTTCCATCAGATTTTCCTAAGTTGTAAGGTTCACTATAACCCTCCTGAATGCAATTGAGAAATCACAAATATATAATGATATCCAGGGTTCGCACAGCCTTGAAAAACCCTTGAATTCCGTCCATTGCCTTGAAAAACCTTGATTTCAAAAAAATCTTTGAAAACACCATAAAAACCCCATTTTCTCTTGAAAAGTCCTTGAATTTTGAGTTGAGTAAAAATGGGGAATATTTTTATCATTAACCCCATTGACAAATATTAACTATCTTTATTGATTTTACAGTTCAGAAGTTAGGTACATGTGTATTCTGTCAGACTAATATAATTGAAAAGTCCTTGAATTTCAAAGCCCAGAGTCCTTGAAAAGTCTTTGAATTTTTGAGGCAAAGTGCTGTATGAACCCTGGATATCATAAAATGACAAGAAGACAATCATGACCTATTTATTATCTCTATTTTGATATTACAGGTATGGTTATAAAGTTACAATTTAGACTAAAGATAACGGATGACTTTAAAGAAAGGATTTATGATACAGACTATGTAAAGTTGAGCTATTGAGCATAGTTAGTTGATGACTTGACCCCTTTTTTATTAAGTTAACTTATCTTTATTATGACTTGACAATTTTATTATTATACCACTTATTACCATGTAAATTGCCTTTGTAAATTGTTGTGACAATATATGCTTGTTTATATGATCACTTAAACTTATTCCATAATTTTTCTATTGTGCATTTAAGACTTCATTAGTTTCATTTAGTTAGTAAATGTTTGTAAAATTAAAGTGCTTTGTGTTTAAATGACCTGAAAATATTTTCCTTATCAACTGATAGATCTCATTTATAACCTTCTGTATCACCATTCCGACATTCTGTACTCCTGCAATTTCATAAAAAAAAAACACCAAGATATATGGTTGTTACAATATTCTAATTTGCAGCTCTAGTAACTGCTATGAAATTGTTATTAATGAACAGAAAGTGACAAAAGTCTACAGTGTTTTTATGTAAATGCAAGGGAACAGACTATTTAAATGAATAGGTGATCGTATGAGAAATTCCCTTCCTAAATACCAGTAATACATTGGATCACTTCATCCTTCAAATATCAAAAATTTGATGAGCAAAGTTGGCGTATTTAGGAGGAGGACCATCAGCCTGTGAAAGGTGTCAAGAACTGAAAATGAAGCCCTCTATATGCTTAACAATCATATTGGGCCATCTGAAATCCTTTGTCATCTTGGGGCCTCTGGCAGACCCAGTCACCACAGCTTCAAGTGGAAGAGACCCTCATATATTTGCCCTCTCCCCCTCCCCTGCCTACATTCACAGTGGGAATATATAGATGTATCTATATAGCAGCAAATAGAAGAAGCTAATCACGAGACACGGGTGCGGACATGATTCGTTCCTTTCATTTTCCCATGTAACGATGATACCGCACCACCTCCGTTTACAAGCATTCCCCTCCCCCGACCCCACATACGGAATGGTCTATCATTGCCCCCTTCCCTTTCATTGTCATTCTACACATGAATACAAAAGCTTGATTATTATGTGGCCCCCTCTCGCCATCCGCCCTCCACCATGTGGCCCGGTTTCGATAAGCACGTGCAATCGAATACATGACAAAAAGGGACATAACTCTCATCGAATGTAAGACCACGCTGGCTATGGCGTATCCTTGAAGTATTGTTTTTATTATGTAAACATAGACATATTTTGTTGTAAATAAGAGTGAAAACGTGACATTTTTATTTTGTGTTTGTGAAATTTGGAAACGTGAATGTTGATGTATATTTAGCAAGACAACAAGCTCCGGTAAGTTTATTTACTCACACATAACAAGCATCGCATTGCTTTGAAGGCTGCGCGGACAAGAGCTGCTTTTACTAATGTGCCTTCAATGACATCTGTAGTCTTTATGCAAAAGCTTTATGATCAAAAGCCGTTTGAAGGTGGTCGCGGCACATTGAATCGCACGAGAAAATATGACCTACTTAGAATAAAGAGTAAATAAATAATATAGCACACCTGCACGTGTTGTTATAAAGGTCACGTGACAAGACATAATGTAAACAAAATACTCGCGAATAACGAAAATATATCATTATCAGTTATTGCTCTGTAAAGTATGATAACCCCAAATACCCCCAAGTATTTTCAATAAAATAAAGATAGCGGGTGTGTGTTTGTGTTTTTTGGGGGGTTGGGTGTTGGGAGGTTGGGTCTTATCCCATATTCACTGAATTGCATTAACGTAAAATTTTCAACTCGATAAACACATAAATTACGTAGATGAATTATAAAAATAGCAACATGTCAATGTATTTTGTTATGACTTCAACAATCCAATTTGAGTCATAATTATGACAATGATATTCTGCCGAGCTAAACGTACAGCATTTTATATGATTTTTTTCCCACAAAACTTTGTGTAGTTGGACATCCTGTGTGGCATTTTGGCAAGTCTTTTACTAAATGACCCAAATGTATTGTTATCTATGCATGCCTCTCTAAACAATTGACGACTGACTTTGTCGTTAGTGTGAAATTTAATAGCACTTTCGTATTTCTTGAGAAAAATAAGATATGGTTTAAATTAAACTCAAACGATAATAAAAAAATTATTATTTTATTCCAAAAAGTAAAAATATAAAATATTGAGTTCACATGTGAATTTGTTTATCAACTGGAAGAGTTGACGTGAGGACGATGATGTTGATTCAGGTCTTCCAAGTCAACTAATCATGGTAACCTAATAGTACTTTATGCTGTAAAAGAAAACAAACAATAGAGGTCCTTTTATTGACTTTTAAGGCGATGAGTTTTGAAAAATTTTACTTTGAAAAACTTGCTAAACAAGCCCTTTTTTATTTTGAAAATTGCTTATTTCTGAATTAGAATTATAATATTTGGTCTTTTACCACGTTCCATTCATATCATGTTACTTAGCCAGGAATTGTAATGAATATTATTATTGTTACTGCTTTCAATTTCAATAATATTCCAAATTCGGCTTCCTCACTAACAAACTAACAATAATGTTTTCATTGCATTCTCGACTCAATGACTTGTAATGAGCGGACGTTAGGATTTCGCGATGGTATACTTTTGCTGAGAAGACAATGATCTTTCTTGAACATTTTGATCACCACATTGTTACTATGCTATGTCACACGATCTGCAAGTTGGACATGAAATTAAGTTTGTCAAAAATCATACAAATTACGATAGAGTTGTCAAGGTTATCATATTATAAAAGGAAAATAAGTACTATACCTTACTCAGATTAATGCAATAAATATTTTTTCTTCCATTCATAAGCGTGGAGGGCGTACGTCTTGGCTCCAGTACACATACTTTTGATCATTCCACCAATGTAAAGCTTCTTCTGGTTTTCTTCGGACATTTTTCTAACCTTCTCGGCTAGTGCTTTCATTTCTTCTTCGCTGTCCATATTTGTGGGAAAGTGCATGTCAGAAGGCATCGAACTACCATCCATTCCCATTTTATCGCCATTATCTCCCTGCATACCTGCATTTCCAAGCATACCTTTCATTGCATCTGATGTTTCTGCGCTGTTGCAAAACTGAAATACCAAATTGAATGGAACAGGTGATTTGTTTGCCAGTGACAAATTCCACCATTGTACACCTGATTTTGTTTTGTTGAATATATTGTATGTGTAGCCTGTGTAAATAAGACCTTCCTTGACCAAAGCAAATGTAGTTCAACTTTCAAGTTCAACTTGTGGAAGAGACAACTTTCAAGTTCAACTTGTGGAAGAGACAACTTAACTTCTGTTAAAAAAAGAACTTACCTCCAGCATTTGATGAACAACTTTCATGACAAATTTATGTGCTTTACCTTTGAATTCAACCATCATTTTATCAAAGTGTTCTAAGCCTTGCATTTTTTCTTCCCACATGTGCCATTTTTTAATCATTTTCATTCTGTCGTCATCCATGTGTTTCATATCTTCGCCCTAAAGTTAAAATTTAAATATATCAGTTAGTAAGTCGTTCCATTTCAAATCATATTTCGTAAATGGTTTGTCACTAGATTATTCAACCAATCAACTTTGTTCAAGAATAGTTTTGTATGTCAGGCATCAATCCTGGGTATTATTAATTGTTAAACATTTGTTTGAATGGCAAACCCATTGTTAATGGTGTTTTTAAATGGTTCTCATACATTTTGACGAATCGGTCAAAATTTGAATGTCAATTCCTTACGTTATCAGAAAGTACAAGGGTTGCTGATCGTATCATGACTTGCATTTTTTTTGTTTTTCTGACCGATTCAAAATATAACTATACGAATGTTTGGGCCAGATTTCAAATGTGATGACTAAATTAGTTTTATTAGAAAGAGGGTCGCTATCCGATATATTGGTGCCAAAGTTGTTGCGTTTGTTCCGAGTCTATAATAAATGGTGCACATTACAAAATACAATACGTACGTCTTTCATGGACTTTTGTTCCATTTTGTTTTTCCATTCCATGAATTCTTTTTTCTGTTGTTCCTTCTCTTTATGTTGATATTCCATGAATTTTTCTTTCATGGCATCTTGTTTCTCTTTCCATTCCATGAATTTTTTCTTCATTTCATCATGTTTGTCCTCTTTCCAATCCTTAAACTCGTCTACCATATCGTCATGCTTTTCTTTCCATTCCATGAATTGGTCCTTATGTTCATCCATTTGTTTGTCTTTCCAAGCCATGTATTCTTGCTTTTCCTTTTCCATCTTTTCTTTCCATGCCATGTACTGTTCTTTCTCGGCATCGTGATGATCAGGTGGATAGGCCATACTTAAAGGCACTAGGGCCAATACTAATATCAGCTTGGAAGCCATCGTGGACACAGTCTACAACAAATTATTTGCATTGGATTGCATTGGCATATCAACATAAGACATTTTATTACTTTCGGACCCAATTTTAATTTGACGGCAATTAATTAGTTAATAAGTATTATTAATTGTGGGTGCTTAATATATTCTTTTTATCATTTTTCCAGATTTTTAGGGTTTGTCAGTCTAATAATTCCTATATCTGCGAAAAAAAGATACTTGATAGCTTTTAGTAAATAGTTTTAAGCTGCACCATTCTGAATATGGTTCCTGTAATTCCAGACAAATTCTTCAAATTTCCAGGATATGCTGTACACTATCGGAAATATTTGTTTGGCTTGACCAGTATCTGTAATAATGACGTTATAATCTGGTCATTTTATCTCTGACACATCAGAATGATGCAAATGGAAGCTAAAAGTGTCTCCGAAACACATGCAACACTAGACAACCTCATTTAGGTGCTTGACAAAAATTGTAACAAAAAGTGACTTACCATGCAAAGCAGGTCTTGATATTGTCGTAGAAGGGTAACTTGGGGTCTTTTATAGTCTATGTCACCCGAAATTACTCATTCTAAGTCAATACACTTCACGAGTCTTCATTCTTTGGTCGTATTTTCACCCTTCTACCTATAACAAGGTTTTCTACAATACGATAGTAAATATTCCATTGTACTTCACATCATGACAAAATGATTCAGCGAATTTCTTCAGTAACATAATTGGATACCTGGCCTACAAGTTCTGGATTGTTTTCGGTAGTGACAGTCATTCTTTCAATATTTTCCTTTCGTTATATTTGCATTCAGGTTGATTTTTCCATGACAATAGGTCTACATACTAAGATATTTCGTTGATCAATGTAGACGAAGTTTAATAAGTAACATGGATGAAAAAGAAAATAATTAATTGAAATTTCATCTTTTTACACAAAGAGGTATGCTTCCATGATTGTGTTGACCAGTTTCACTAATTGAAAAGATTAGGTCTGATTCAATATATTGTAAAGATTGAACCCACTGAACTAGCTAGATTGGCAACCTCGTTGAAAAGATTATGCTTGTCAAACTTACTGAAAAGATTGTGCTTGCTAAATCTATTTAAAAGAATGTGCTTTGTAAAAGATTATGATTGCTAAACTTACTGAAAAGATTGTGTTTTTCTAAACTTACTGAAAAGATTATGATTGCTAAACTCACTGAAAAGATTATGTTTGCTAAACTCAATGAAAAGATTATGATTGCTAAACTCACTGAAAAGATTGTGTTTGCTAAATTAACTGAAAAGATTGTTTTTGATAAACTTACTGAAAAGATTATGTTTGCTAAATCTATTGAAAAGATTGTATTTTGCTAAACTTACTGAAAAGATTATGATTGCTAAACTTACTGATAAGATTATGATTGCTAAACTCAATGAAAAGATTATGATTGCTAAACTCACTGAAAAGATTGTGTTTGCTAAATTTACTGAAAAGATTGTTTTTGATAAACTTACTGAAAAGATTATGTTTGCAAAATCTATTGAAAAGATTGTATTTTGCTAAACTTACTGAAAAGATTATGATTGCTAAACTCACTGAAAAGATTGTGTTTGCTAAATTTACTGAAAAGATTGTATTTTGCTAAACTTACTGAAAAGATTATGATTGCTAAACTTACTGATAAGATTATGAATGCTAAACTTACTGAAAAGATTGTGTTTTTCTAAACTTACTGAAAAGATTATGTTTGCTAAATCTATTGAAAAGATTGTGCTTTCTAAACTTTCTGAAAAGATTGTGTTTGCTAAACTTACTGAAAAGATTGTGATTGCTAAACTTACTGAAAAGATTGTGTTCTTCTAAACTTACTGAAAAGATTATGTTTGCTAAATCTATTGAAAAGATTGTATTTTGCTAAACTTACTGAAAAGATTATGATTGCTAAACTTACTGAAAAGATTATGATTGCTAAACTTACTGATAAGATTATGAATGCTAAACTTACTGAAAAGGTTGTGTTTTTCTAAACTTACTGAAAAAAGATTATGTTTGCTAAATCTATTGAAAAGATTGTGTTTTTCTAAACTTACTGAAAAGATTATGATGCTAAACTTACTGAAAACATTGTGCTCTTCTAAACTTACTGAAAAGACTGTGTTCTTCTAAACTTACTGAAAAGATTATGATGCTAAACTTACTGAAAGATTGTGTTTTTCTAAACTTACTGAAAAGATTATGATTGCTAAACTTACTGAAAAGATTGTGTTCTTCTAAACTTACTGAAAAGATTGTGTTTTTCTAAACTTACTGAAAAGATTATGATTGCTAAACTTACTGAAAAGATTGTGTTCTTCTAAACTTACTGAAAAGATTGTGTTCTTCTAAACTTACTGAAAAGATTGTGTTTTTCTAAACTTACTGAAAAGATTATGATTGCTAAACTTACTGAAAAGATTGTGTTCTTCTAAACTTACTGAAAAGATTGTGTTTTTCTAAACTTACTGAAAAGATTATGATTGCTAAACTTACTGAAAAGATTATGTTTGCTAAATCTACTGATAAGATTGTTGAAACAAAGTTGTTGAAACTAATTGGTAAAGCTTAATAAAGATGAGCTTACTACACCTTTTGATAGTGCTATACTTATTGAGTTTGCATGAACATTTTTTTACATTCTAAAATAGAAATTAAAAAAATGATCATATCTACTGAAGGGGATTGCCATCGTCTTTTTTTTCATTACAAAAGTGTCAAAATATCGTGATAGTAGTTATTTATTTGCATGAATTCGGTCTTTAACCCGTGAATAGTAAGTACTTTAAAATTGATTCGAGAGGATTCATGAAATTTTGTGCATATATAAGATGTAGTTAAAGATCATTGCTGTATTGACTTTAAAAAGTAGAATTTTTAATGACTGCTATCATTTACATAATTTTGTGGACATAATAACAGCAACAATATTTAACGTCAAAGATCTCACAATGAAGTATGTAAAATTTCGAGTTGTTAGTCAGTTGAAAAATAATTTGAATCTGATGAAACACACGCCACACAGAACAAGTTGGTATACGATGACTTACATTTATATCTCTTCCTGCGAAAAACATACCGGCAAATTTTGTTAAAAAACTAAGTGATGATTAATTACAGTTTGGCAATTGTCTAATATAGTTTTTATTTCGCATTCACGTAACAATTGATAAAATTCGGAAAATGGGTATGGTGTTTGTTGTCCTGTCTAATTTCGCCCATTTCACGCTGAATTCTTTCTTATGTTCAGTTGAGTGCAGAAACTAGGACGCAGATTTATTTCATTTCATTCCCTTCCCTTGGATGCATAAAGAAGCATAATATTTGTCCTTTCAAAACTATCTAGTTCATTTGAAGTAGAGTCATCATTTTCTTTAAGTCAATAGTATGTATTTGTTAAGATCAAACTCATAGGCTATCTCCCCTTGACCCTGTTTCAATAAATAGGTCTGTAATGTTCTATTTAATTCTGATTCATAATCGTGATTTTTATATACTCACATGAAAATATTGAGCATTTATTGCGTCACTCGTATCCGTCAATGTGAAACGATACGATGTGGTTAATCATCGTTACCGTTGGTTAAGGAACATGAACCACGTTTCTCGAAATATCGTAGATCGCACGAGCCTAAACATTATAAATTGATAAGGTCAAAAATAACGTTTTTCAAGTTGATTCGTACGAATTTTTGAGAAATTGGGTCATGGTGTCTATCTGTTAACATATTTGTGGTAGCGTTTCCAAGTTGAATTGGATTGAATTGATATATATCTGGAATGGGCTCAATTTTGGTACGATTTTGTTAAACGCTTTCTGACTTATTTCCCTTGAAATGTGTTACTCCAGTTACTACAGTTATTATCCAAATTTAATAACAAAACAATACCTAGGACGTGTTCGATTTTCATATAATTTTGATGATCCTATGGGTAAATTTATTATCCTTCAAAAAAGTTCAAAATTGGCGCATGTGATAAAGACCAAAAGTTCTGAATTGTTTTGCTGATACTTGGTATGATATAGATATGATCAATGTGTTATTTGTTCAATATCTGTGATGAGTTTTAACTCTTTGACATTATTAACATTAACTGTCATTAACAGTATTGCAATTTTTGCTGCCGTGGTCGTATATCACTCTGCCTAACAAGCTATCTTTGATGACTGAAGATCACACAGCGAAAGATAGACCTTAATAGCAACTTGAACATAAAAGATGTCAACAATAGTGTACATGTGTATTCGTCATGTCTATTTTCATCAGATGTATCATACGTCATTTCGTGATAAAAGTTTTGTAGATGTTTATTTGGTGAGCTGATAAAAATACTACAGGTCTAGGTGCTTCGTTCTTTTCTGAAGTTAACTGCATTTCCATGATCTGATAAAATTAACAACGTTTTAAATGATGAAAATTCCCGAGACTGGAGATACATAGGGAGGGGGTGGGGTAAAAACTGTCGAAGTGGAGGTTGAGATTCTAAATTGTATTCTTTGAAAATAGAATTGATCTGGTGCTGGACATATTTTGGGACTACGTGTAAAAGTCATATGTTTGCTGTATTGGAGAATACAGGTCACAATGGTTGTCCAAAACAATTCTTTTTTTATAATGCCACCTCACAGGGAATAGGCCAAACTCAGAAGAATATGTCCTCATTTCGTTATTTCATTCATGGATGATTTATTTTCTGGTTTAGGTTTTTCGAGAAATGGTAAAGGGTTCGGTCATAAAAGGCATCATGACGTACTTGAAAAAATGCACTTTACGTATCTACAACCCTTTTGAGAGAAAACGGGCTAAGAACTAGTTTTGATAAGTAGGCTACAGCTTTTGTATGTTGAAGATCTTTGTTCATATTTAATCTGGTATTGCCTTTTTATAACGTTAGTTAATGTTCACTAATTGTGGATTTTTTACTGTACTTACATTATTAAAGAAGGGTTATGTGCCATTTTCTAGAAATATGAGCATAATTTTAACGAGATTAACAACTACCATATGCATACTCTTTACTCAAATTCATTCATTACATACTTGTACAGTTAAGTCATTGATTAATGCAAAAGATGCTTGAAAGAACTGTTCTCGTTAAAGAATGTCTAGGATGAGAAAATTTCAGATTCAGTTTTGATATTGTTCTTTCTGAAATAGAACATTACATCTGCAACAAACAGGAGAAACCTGAGATTATTGGCAGACTTACATCTTCATTATGTTAAATTGGGGTAGTTCATCGTTACTGTTTACTTGGTAGGTTATTGTCAGTCGAACCATGAAGGTTTTTTGAAAAGCATGTTTAATGTTATCTACATAAGGTGGGTTTTAAAATAGATATAAATATTTGTTTGACTGAATAACCCTATCCTCATTTCATCGTATTTTCGCTCTACAAACAATATATTTTTATCACATAAAGGAAATTGGGGACAAGATTTTCGTCGATCACCTCTCAAAGTTTTTCGTATTGGTATTAATTTAATATTCCTAGAGAGGTGAAAGTTAAAGAGAACCATTGATCAAATTCTAGAGAAATGTGTCCCTTACCTTTTCTGAAATGGTTTAACTAAAAGAATTTGTCGTTAATTTTAAGAGCGCCAAAACAATTTGAAAGGTTTACGTATTTTTTTGGATGGTCTTGGAAAACTAATGTATGGATTTAAGCAAAATGTCTGTGGGTTGAGGCATCCATAGTAGATTAATTTGGGTATTTTTCATGGTTTTGCTGGAGAAATCCCTTCATGACTTATCCCAATCAAACTTTTCGGAACCAAAGTTGAATTTCTATAGTTCTGGGTCTTCAGCCCAAGTGTGATGGGAGGTGATTAGTCTGAAGGATGAATATCGGCCCGTGCATCCCTATCTCATGACATCTTGATGACCTCTTCATGTATGGTCATTGAAGAATGTCCAAGGATTTCCTTTGTCTGCCAATCACGATGCATGTTTTCCTCCAGTTTCGTGATATGTTCATTAAGGACTGCCAACAACTTTAATACGTTATTTTATTTTTTGTATTGTTTCAAACGTAAAAGCGGCCTGGTTTACCACTGAGCAGGCAGGAGTTTATATTCAAACGATTCAGCAGTCTGGATGCTTTGTACCATGTTATTATCTCTATTAATAAAACTATTAATATTTAAGATTTGTATCAGAATAATAAAAATGAAATGAATGGAGTTTTACGTCTGACACTTCAGCACCATATCAGATCATTGCGTAGTATTTTTTTGTTTATTTCGTTTTTGTGGTATTTAATAAAGTTGTGTTGTGGCAAGTTGTGCAAGCTCTGTAACCGTAACTAACCTGGTTAGTACTTCTGTTCGGTATGGTTATTAAGGTTAATAAAGGGAAACGACACATTTGTTTCTCGACGTCCAGATTCAATTTTCGCGAGAGATTGGGATATGATGTTAATCGGACGCAGCTGTGATCCTTTCAATTCTTCCGATTCTTGAAAATCAGCATACTTCCAGAATCAGATGCAAGGTCGACATACAGGATCCAAGGCATGATTGTGCGATCGTGCTCTGAAGATCGGGCTTAAATATCCAAGTACGATGTTCCTCAGATAAGTAAAGGGATTGAAGAAACGGAAAGCTATTGGAACTTTTATCTTTTACAGTATAATTTCAGCAAAACATTTCAATAATATAATAACAAAAAATATATCATTAATGCACTTCTCCAACATTAAACTGGATCTAAGTAATCGTTGTGTCATTTTAGACCAATGTTGATTAGGTATTACTTATCTCTCAAATGACATAACAAACGCTTAGATCCAGCTTTACATTTTAGCCCGCAGATATTAAGTTGGAGAAATAAAACCCAATGAAAATGTTGATCAGATGCATGAGGTAAAACGATCAAATAAAATTTCGATAGGTTTATCTACCAATGAATTCAAGATAGCGTTTTTGATTCGATCTTTTGCCAACAAATTCAGGTCTCCTAATACGTAAGCGTTTGCTGAGATATTCCGAAAGACTGCCTCTTGAATATCGCTTTTCACCAAAGCCAGCACGTTTACCTACAAATTCAGCATACCTTTTGTCATTGTCTCTTTTACCGACAAACTCTAAATATCTTTTACTGACGGGACTCGCTTCCTGCCCGAGGAACCCTAAAGCATGAGCTGGATCAAGTTTTAAAAATCGTGCACCGTTTGGACGTGGCATGTCAGCATCCCAGAGCTGCACGGTAGGAACGTCCATTTTGGAAGAATCTACTTTGTGGAGGTCGTCCAGAGGCAGTAATATCTTCGTCTGTACATCATCTAAAATATTTAAAGAGAAATAGTTTTGTTTATATCCCCCTATAAATGACATATTCAAATCAACTACATTCAACCGCATTCTAAATACCCATTGAGGTATGCACTGAAATCTCCTGAAAGATATGCACCATCGCCCATGAGAGGTGTTCACTAAAACCCATTTGTAGTGTACATCACAAACCGATGATAAGTGTTCACTATAACCCATTAATAGTGTACATAAAAGCAAGTTATGTTACTGAATCAAATTTTACCAATGATGAACCTAACAGTATTTGTTGGCATACTATTCATGTATATACATTGCGCTTTGTATTTATTAATAGTTCACTTTTGGGTTTCAACAGCCTGTCGCATTGTAAGCTGAAGCGTTCACCGAATACAGAAAACCAAACACATTAACAAAAGAAACAAATAACAACGCAAAAAAGTAAGTCTTCATGGTAATATTCAGATCACAATCTTCGAGTCACAACTACCCTTCCAACTACCATTTCGTTCTTTTCTTGATGCAGTCAGCGCAAGAACCACTCTGTAGAACATAGAAGGTCCAATTTGCAAAAAAAAAACCAAAAAAAAAATTGTAACAATGCGTTTGGTTTCGGCAGCAATAAAGGAGCAAAAAACCGCTATCACATTACCGGCTTAACGTTTCTGCTGCGAGGTTGTCATTTTCATAGTCACTTCGTTTTCCTACAAACAGCGGTGCGTCAAATCGTTTGTCAGTTTGCATGAGTCGTCTGTATTCTCGATAAGCCTGTAATGTAGCTAATAAATCTCTAAAGGATTCTTCTTTTCGTTTGCCTATGAAAGTTGGGGCATCCAAACCACGTTTTCCAACAAAACTGGGTGCTGAAAATGCTCGTTTACCAAGAAACATGGGCGTTTGAAATTCGCGCTTTCCAACAAAGGCAGGGACATCCATTCCCCGCCTTCCAATAAATTGAGGAGGCGCATATGCACGGCGACCAACGAAAGCAGGGACGTCAAGACCCCGTTTTCCAATAAAGCTTGGTGCTGTTAATTTACGCTTGCCAACGAATGAAGGAGCATCAAACGCCTTTTTTCCTATAAAAGCCGGGGCACCAAACGCCTTTTTTCCTATAAAAGCCGGAGCACGAAACGCCCTTTTTCCTACAAAAGCGGGAACGCCATATCCTCGTCTGCCAATAAATTGCGGCGTGTCGTAACGTCGACGGCCAATAAACTGCGGTATGTCCACTCCGCGCTTGTCAAAGTCATCAGAAAATTCTGTTGCGTCTAAATCCTCTAGATCAGTAGCACGTTTAAACCTTAGACTTAGATTTTTCAAGTCTCTTTTGCCTAGAAACATCGGAGTGTCGTAGGAACGTCTATGCTGAGCATAATGTGACTGCACATCTTGTCTATTTACAACAGGCAAAGCGTCTAAGTCAAATTTCGATTTAGATTTCCAGATGTTGGACGGATTAGTTTGATGCGCGTCGGTGTTAAGCAATGTATCACCACTATGTGAGAGCGCTGCAGTAGGTATTTTTGAATGCTTTTGCGTAGCTGGTTCTGCGAACTTGTCGGCACCTGTAAAAATCAAATTGAATGTGTTAAGAATATTTTAACCGTTCATCCACACACAAAAAAATGTGTAAATGCCAAAAGGCTCTCCCCGCAAGTTGTTCGTCTAGAATGATATTTTCAAAGGATGATATTTTAATGAAATTTTATGATGTGGATTTTAATGGGATCATCGGAGGAAATCCCACATATTTTGGCCTCCCGAATATGGAAGCGCTAATGGACTGACTGATCTTTTACTTATTTAGGAATTAAAATATCAATAACTAGCCTGCAAACTCTTCGAAGGGTTTAAAAGCCAAATGTCTGAAATCATGCGATCTGAAACCGTTATAATTTTTTTTATAAGATCTTTTAGTCGATATGTCCTTTACATTATGTTAAGGAAATTACGTCATACACAACAGGTTTCATTTCAATATTCAATTCTTATGTTCATTTTCAATTTGTTACACAATTTCATTCTGTTATTCATTCACTATTGGTTATTTGAAATACAATTTTAATAGAGACTGGTTCAACAAACCAATTTATATTCTATATTTTTAACATATTCGACGCTCCGCAGAGATGCCAAATGTTTTGAAATCACGTTTCAGAATGTAATTGAAACTTATTATATCCGTCTATGAGATTGTCCAGATAAATAAGAAATAATGTCTATATAACCCCGAAGGTCTGATATTCATACCGAGATTCTCATTTTTTCTATTATTGTTCACGAAACAAAATTTTTAAATTTTAAAAATTCGTTCATCTTGATAATGACATTTGTAAAAATAACCTAAACCTAAAATATATTAGATTATTTATTAAATCATATTTTTTTCATATGAACAAAATTAATCACATTCCATGGTTTCGGAATTTGTAAGAATTCAAACGGGTATTTCTTTAGAACTTAATTCCTAATAACATAAACATGCACGATCTCTTGTGAATATCTGAAAGCCAAAGGGGGATAGGTTCACTTGAGTCGCACAGAATCTGCTTGTTTGCAACAACTAGCGACAAAATCCAAGAGCACCTAAATTTTCAGTCAAACTGTGCGCACAATCAACAGGGTGAGATGCAATCACACAGCTGGTCGTAGTCGCTACTGGGCGGCTTTCGATATGAGCGTTTCGCTGAAGTTGACTGCTGCGCATCTCATGAGCTGCGTTTAATTTTTATGCGTAGTCAAAGGGGAAATTGTGCTTCGCAGCTATATCAACGTCTTTGTCAAAATGCATTCAGTTTATAAGTAGATAATTGGCTGAAACAGATTGCCTGCTCATGTGCGCCTTCTATTCAATTCATAGCAGCTGGTGAACCGAGGCTGCTAGGCTACGCTTTCTAGTTTGGGGCTTGGTCACAGGCACCAGAAAGTTTCCTATTGCAAAACATTGATCACCAGAGCTAGCCCAAGAAAATACATGTATTATTAGTTTGGAAGATGAATATAAATACGTGCTCTAGTTTTCAATATTTGCACCCACGAAAATATCAATTCTCACACTCTATATAAAAGTCCATTATAACAGTACAGAGATTTAACGTACCTAATGCTTGAACTAATGTTAATAATGTACCAGCTACGACAACCACACTTGTAACTAAAATTGACTTCATTTCTAGCAAAAACTAACCCTTCTTCCCTTTTAGGGGCCGCAACTGAAATAATAAAAAGAAAATAACATCAATTGCACATTTTTGAGTATATATATTGTGTCGGTCATAATCTAGTAAATTTTTTCTTGATTTAATCCTATTGAGGATTTTATATCCGAAACACGTGTTGGAAGCAAGTCGGTGAGGTCAATATTATGGAATCACACGAGAAAGAAAAAATTGATTGTCAAATGTAAGAAACAAACAACGATAAGTGACAGAGTGAGTGCCCATTTTTCTATCTTCAGTAGAGTTCCCTTATACACTCTATTAAGATTGAGTGACAGCTCAAAGAGTTAGTGAGATGTGATACTAATAGAATGATCTCAATAAAAATCTAGTTAACAATATCAAGATGTTGCCCAAACGTTTATAATTGGAGGTTTTATGTAAGTGATCTATGCCTGATCACGTTGATCTTCATTCATCAATATTGTAACAAGGTCGGTGCTTTATCAAACAGATTACTCCATACGACCTAGCTTTAAATAGAGATAATCCGTTTAAGACCAGTTCCAAGAGATTAGGCCAAGGACCAACTGGTAGACAGGATAATATATCGAGAATCTAAGTCGGATAATCCGTTTCAGATCAATGCATAGAGGTTAAGCAAATGACCAACTGGAAGACAGGATTCTTGCTGTAACCATTGCTTCGGAATTAAAGCGTATCAGCCGCTGCACAGATGGAGGTCGTGTAGGTCTCGTGTCCACCTGTCTTTCCTTTAAGCCTGTCGGATTAATTAAGCCCATACTGATTTGACCGTATTTCCGCAAACTACATAATTATGATCTCGTGGATTGGTTTTAATTCAATCTTTAACGATATTCATAATTAAGAGCCATTCATTGTACAAGCTCGACGTGTGTAACATACGTTTAAACATTAAGGACCAATATTTTGATACTGCTGTACAATGATTTTACTATGTTAACATAAATTGAGTATTATTGCACAAATAATTTAACCTTATTCTTGGTACTTATGGAATATAAACGTAGACAGTAATACTACATGTGTTTTTTTTGCTAAAACCTTATTGTGGCATACAGCATCGTTACGTCGCATAATATTCATTTGTTTAGTCCGATGTGACATAATTACTATCAATTTCATAAGAGCATTGACTCATATATTACTTCAGTAATAATCTTAACGGTTTAACTTAAATGAAGCACAGGGAAAAAAAATCTAAAGGCCAACGATTATACTAATGAATAAGGTAAATCATCAAACTATCAAATAAACATTGATTTCAGATAGGTGGACGTTTATTACATTCACAGAGGTTATCGTCTGATCAATTATTGTGTATCGACATTAGATTAAGGAGTTACAATACAGGATCAGCGCTCTGAATACCAATATTTATCTTTCACGGGGCAAAACATTGAAACCCCATATTCTACAGGTTTATCTAGCTGAAGATCCGCCAAGAGTTTGATATAAAAAGAGATCGGGCTTATGTGCATCTCTGAGCAAAATTTCCAATTCCTCATTGTATCTGTCTCCACTAGCCCAATCTAAATCAGAAAAGTACGACAAACGGCATTTCATTTCTTTCGAATCAACTTGTCCAGAACATTCAGAGTTTTTTTGTTTGTTTTGATGAGTCATAAAACACATCAGAATCATTTTTCATGGCCAACGCAGATCTAATAAATGGTGCTTTTACACGCATTTTATAATATACATTTCCAATAGCAATTCTGCTTTTCATTTAGGAATAATAAAGACATAACGATGCAGACAAAGATATAAGACCGAAATCGCTAGAGAATATTTTAACTCTTTAACAACTGAATACAGTATTGTTAATTTGTGAACAAAAAGGCTTAAAACAATACCCATAATTATTTTCAGAAAGTTCTCTTATAGACCAATTGGGACTAGTTAATATCTTTCATGTTCGTCACAAATTTACATTCGAGAATATATCTTCAATATGTTTATATTAACTTGGCTTCGTAAATTGGCAATATTTTTCAAAAAAAGCACGATTAACAATTTATAGTATTACAGTATTCAGATAAAGAAAATCTTAAAGGTAAATTGAAAGATTTATGACATTTGAAGTGTCATCCACATTCATTTTACATAGCAATCGGGCTTTTTTCCTCAGTTTTTGCCATTGAGCGATGGATGTCTCAATTTGAGATAATTGTATAGATAAATAAATTGAATGATTTACAATAGTGAAAAATAATCGTGGCAGATCGGAATAAAATATAACAATGTAAATCAGTTTGTCCTGTCGGTTATGAACCCAATAAGTTTGGCTTTATGTTGTTAATCCTTGAACAGAGAAACCTGTCATCGGATTTTATACACGAATTTGAAATGTCACCTATTCTGTCTATGAATTTTTTTTAGACCATGCAATGTTCATGTAACCTTGTTGTTAGCAATATCGATGCGTTTCTAAAATTTTGGGAACTATTGAATCTTTGGAGTTATTGAAGCATGAAATTTAGCTGAAAAGATGGGCTTTTGCATCTCCTATTACCAAATTTTCTAAAAAAAATGACCCAAAATTACAAAAAATTTGGGGAGTTGTAATGCGGAACATCATGAGGCTTGTGGAAGTTCCATGAAAGTAGATTATATTTTAATATGCCAAAGAATACTAAAACTGGATGTAAAGTTGAACATCATGATGCTTGTGGTGGTTTAAAAGGTCGAGGTTCCATCAAGGCATTAAATGCCTAATATTAAAAAACTAGTTGTAAAGTTGAACATCATGATGCTTGTGGAAGTTCCATGAAAGTAGATTATAGTTTAACTTCCCAAGGAATACTAAAACCGGATGTAAAATTGAACATCATGATGCTGGTGGTGGTTTGAAAGGTAGTCTTCCAGTTTGAGGTTCTATCAAGGCAGAAAATGCACAAGATTACAAAACGAGTTTGTAAATGCTTGTCTTGGTTTAAATCATCACATTTTCCGATGCCATGATGTTAAATTTATGAACATTTCAATCATTACAAAACGAGTGAAGTTGAACACCATGATCCTATGTTACTGCTGGTTTAAAAGGTCTTCAGCCAACTCGATATCAAATCAATCGTGCTAATACACTGTGAATTTTTCATTATAACGCCTTATAAGTGACTCTTATGGAATTAAATGATTAACTTTTCAGGGTTTCCTCTTAAAATCGGTAATTGTAGCATGGGCGTTGAAAATAAACATAAAAATAAGGCACCTTTACCACGCATGTTTTAAAGAAAAATCAGAAATCGGAGTATATCTGGGTCTTAAGACTCATCATATTGAAACCCTGTCGTAACCTTTAGGGAAGGTCTGTCCAAGATCTCGAGGCGTTATTGGATTTGATATACCCCAAAAGTCGTGATGCATTTAAATAAGTATTAAGTATTGTATTTGTGTAATTATGTTATTTTACACATTAAAAATACCCCAAAATGATACATTTGAATACATAATTGAGTATGTATCAACATATTGGGTTCAATGTGTTCAACTTGACACATTTGAACGCAATACATGTGATACATTTGGATAAAACGTGAAGTATGCGTCCAAAGTATCCTTAACTATTAAACACATTTCAAAAGACGTAAAAATTGATGCATTTGAAGGAGAAACAAGAGAGTATAATTCAAGTTATTCTGTTGAACTTCATTTTACTTGGTGACAAAGAACCCCAATAACCTATATGAAGTGACTGTTTCGGTCATTCCAGGCAATGATTTTAGGATGAAATGCGTGCTATTCATGGTTGTCTGAGCACTGAATTTAATAGTTATTCTAGAGATCTTCATATTCCCAAGCAAACTGATAGATCTGATAACGACGGCCAGAAATTATTAACTTATAACCAGTCAATTTAACACATAGAAAGTCGGTAATGGAAAATGGCCCTGTGGGGGCATAAGCTGAAACGTTAAAAAAAAACTATTAATCGGACGTCATTCCCCGACCAATTGTGGCGATAATAAGAAAAGTAGGGATTACCCGTCTATTCAAGGTCCATATTTTTTGTACTTTTTGCAGATTAATACTAATACTTGTCATCAAGTCATTACCAAATCAAATATTTGCTTCAGTACTTTACTATAGAGAAAGCAATATTTAAACTTAGATTAGATAAATTATTCATTTGTTTCCTATATTATGTGAAGTGAAACAAAATATCGGACATTGTGTGTTGGAAAGCTGAAGCTATACAATTCAAAACATATTAGTATTAAACAGATAGGGTTTTAATTAAAAGAGTCATTAAGTCGGGTTTTGTTCTTTGACGTTTCATTATCATAAACTAAACATTGGGGAAAGGATCATTATATATATTCATCATATAGGATCGTTTTACCGGTAACGAAAACAAAGAAGAAAATTCAAAGTTATTCACAATTAGATAGACAATCTTTTTTGTATTATTTATAATGTGATTAAATTCATACCTATTACCAGTGCAAATCTTTTACAGTCAGTGATCTCACATTGGGGGTGTATTCTATTGTTCATGTATCCCATGCTAATGAATACAGGGAATAAGGGACACACTTAGAATGGGTCATGTAACTTGTACTAACTGACCAACTTATGTTATGTCATTCCATTTGAATCGTTAACTAAGAGAATCAAAGCTTTGCCGTTTACCTGCGTTTTATATGCCTGAAAATGCTTTACCGGCGAATTTATACCTGACATTGGTTTTGTTTGATATAGGGATATTACCATCGTATGCTGCATTGTCTTACTTGATCCCAAATAGCTTCAAACAACAGCATCTCGGTTAGATTCTAGTCTTATATCATTCGATACTCTTAAAAGCAAGTACTCTTTTAACTAGTCTACCAATTTACAGTAAATCGTTACCAGTCTTTGTAATCGGCTTCGTCCGGATTTAACCGCGACACTACATTAGAAAGATTACAAAAAAAATCCCATAGTTTGTACTAGTATGAGTAGTTTAAAGACGAATAGTTTATGAG